TGTCTTTTTATCTTTGCTTTATTCTGTTTACACAAAAATAAGCAAAGAGGGGCAGCTGTCGACAGTAGTTTTCGTCCGAGTGTGATATATATATATATATATATATATATATATATATATATATATATATATATATATATATATATATTATTATTTACAAAGCTCGAAGGCTCGGTTACAAAGCAATGCACATAGGCCCAAGATACAAGCTCAGTTGTAGTCTGATTATAACCCAACTTAGGTTAGGATCAGATTTGGTTTACAATTGATTTAGGCCCAATTTCAGCAGGCCCGCGAGAAGACCCATCAGCAGCTAAGGTTTCCACTAGATGCTCCAGCTGCCAAAGCTCTCCACCGTTCGATCAGAGAAAATCCAATGGTCACCAGTGTAACCAGCAGGAACCCTAGGGTATCATTACCACCCTAGGGCCTATTCCGGCCACCGCCTCTAGCTGCTCCAACCAGACGATTCCACGCCCTCACTGCCTCTCCATATCTCTCCCGAAGGCTCCAGAAGATCAACGAGAACCGCACAACACATCACTCTAGGGTGAGTCACCGGAAACTCACCGAATATAGCCATCATTATGAACAGCGATCGAGGACTATAAATAGCCCTAACCTGCAAGAGGACAAGACAAGAAACAAGAGCAAAAAGCATCCAAACACACACACAAAATAGCGGCGAAAAAAGTAAAAGAAGAGTCTGAGAAGTTTACCCAACCGCTGAAGCTTCAACATCGTCAGAACCACCGTGAAATCGAAGGTAAAGCCTTCGGTATTTTTTAGATCTAGGACAATCTAAAGGCTTTTAGGAAGATTAGAGGCTGGATTTGGGTAGAGGGGTTCTTATCTATATTTTGGTGTAAATTGGTAATTTCTGGCCACCGTGGGTGGTGACCGGCGGTGGCGGACAGCGGTGACGATCAAACTCATGTTGGTGGCGACTCTGCAACTTGGTGTTTCTTCTGATTCAGGAGAATAAACACTTACTTTTTCGAGACTTGTTACACCCCTTGAGATTTACTATTTGCACTCTCCGTCGTCGGGCAGAGAAACATTTCGATAGATGTCAACCCTCTATCAAACTCATGTTGGCCTTTTGTTTTAAACTATCACCGTTTTCATAGAGAAACGTTCAAAGGTTCGTCGAATTTTAAGTCATCATCGTTGTTTTACGTCGATTTTGATTGATCCTGGCGTTCATAAATCAGACCGCCACCACCATTCTAATCACCATGCAATTTTGATCAAAACCCTAGTGTTCGGTGACGATGGTGGTCGGTGATGGATTAAAATGAGATATTTTAGTTTTTTTATAATTTTTTATAATTTCATTAAAATTTTGAGTTTTTTTATAAATAATTTTTTTGAAAATTAAAATATTATTTTTATTATTAAAATTTTAAAAAATTAAAAAATATAACGTTGAAACTTAAAAATATAACTGAAAACCGTTAAACATCTAGTTTTAACAAAAAAAAATATTTAGACACCAAAACGTTTTTTTAATGCTCAGTGACTGAATTAGCAACTTCAATCGGTCTGATCATTTTCTAATAAAGCGCCCACTTGTTCAGGCAGCTTCGGGAACGTGTGAAAACCAGAGGGGAGAGACCACGTCATCTTCAACCAACCATCTGCAACTGCATTTTGAGCCCTCCGTATATTATCATATCGTGACTACCAATTTCATTGAATTAAATTAACAAAATGTGGCACCATTGGAGATATTTTCTCCATTGACTTGCCTTGCATTAGTAGCTTGAAGGTCTCCTTATTATCCGTCTTTACTATTATATTCCTCATACTGAGATTCCATGCCATCTCCCCATACACATTATTTTATTTTTTAATAAACACAAAATAAGATATTAGTAATAACATATATGATTAATGATTAACAATTATAAATAATAAATATGAATAATACCCAAAAATAACTTAATAAATAAATAATTTACATATAACGACTAAATCATTTAAAAAATAACTTATTTCTACCAAGTGTGAACTAATCTATGTAATAGGACTAAATTGAATGAAATAAAAAATTAATAAGGTTAAAATAACAATCAAATAAGAAAAGGGTGCATTATAATAAATAAAAAACTGGAGGGATAGAGTGCGGGTCAAACATCATGTAATTGAGGTGTCAAGGATATTAAAACTTGGAATATGGCGTTATGATGCAACTAATCAGAAATATCCTTGCAGGTGAGAGCTCATTATGGGTTGTTTGGCTCAAGAGTTATTGTTGAAGGATATAGACTTTTGGCTTATGAGGTTAGAGTTAATGCTAGTTGGTGCTTAAGATGTATCCTTAAATTGAAGTCTAAGACTTTCTTATTTTATGTGTGGTGCTTTGAAGGCAGGTGAGATTTGGGATGAGATTCGGGTGAAGGGTGCTAAAGTTCCTTGGCAGAAACTGATTTGATTTCTTTTTCACATCCCTAAGTATAATGATGACTTTATTGGACAGACTTCCCACAAGAGACATGCTATAACATATGGGGTTAAATATTGAAGGCAATTGTATTCTATGTAATGGTGCTCTGGAGACAAGGGATCACTTGCTCCTTGAATGCCCTTAAGCTAATGCAAATTGGGAGGATGTGTTGAAACTTTGTGGTTTGCGAGAAGACTATTGCTTTGGGAGGTTGAGATTGCATGGACAATGGCACTTGGAAATGTAAGTCTTTGCTCACCACTATTTTGAAGCATGCATGGTGTGCTCATATTTACACTTTGTGGTAGGAGCGGAATTGCAAAATTTTTTAGGGACTACTCTAGAGATGCTGCTGCTATGATAAGTGCTATAAAGGAAATAGTTTGCATTAAATTGAGAGGTAAAAATATTAATAGAATTGATAGTGTTTATGTTACTCTTTGTAATAAATGGATATTGCTTAAAAAGGATGTTTTGTCTATGTTTTGGCTGTAGGGAGAAAATTTAGAGTTTGAGTTTTGTACTCTGGTTGATTGTTATTTCGGTTGATTGTAGCAGTTTTTTTCTGATTCTTTTAGGTAATAAAATGATTTATCCCAAAATAAAACATCATGTAATTTGTATTGAATTCTTATCTTGGATTCAGGTCGGACACAAGTTAAACACCAAGTTATTTGTGTTGAATCTTTTTGATGCAATTATTACCTTTATTAACAAAACTTAAGAATATAAAAAGATATTGTTACCTATATTAAAAATATGTGATTTGATCTACTGATTAAGATACTTCTATTTTTACTTTGACTCTTAGGGTTCTTTCAGTAACATTTAAACATTTCTTTGATGTTATTAACAACAATAATATATATAAAAAAATGTTGTACTATATAAAATTAAAAGATTAATAATTAAAATGAAAAGAGATAATAGTTAGGTAGTTGTAAGTATAATTTACTTAAATTATTTGTGCTACTTTAGATGTGTTGACTAATGATTGGGTATTCTAAAACACGTTTTGAAGGAATCTTTAATGCGTTTTTGATTTGATGGAGGAAATAAAGCGCGTGAATATAGCATAGAACGGAAGCTTAGCCTATATTAATAGAATATTAATTGCTCGATCAATTACATGATTGATCATTTTTATTTTTATTTTGTATATTTTTTATTAAATTTGGAAAATATAATATTTAATTATTTTTATTTAATTAAGACGTGATTATTTTTATTTAATTTTTTCATTTTCTTCATTAATGACAGTTAGAATTTTAACAATTAAATATTTAAAAGTTAATAAATAAGTAATCGTATCTTAATTAAATATAAATATAAATAATAATAATAATATCTTAATTAAATAAAAATAAAATAACAAATTATTATATTTTTTGAATTTAATAAAAAATGTAACATTTAAACAAATGTGACCAATCTTACGTTAAATTATAAGTATTTTCTTTTGGGTTTCCCCAATCTCTCAATTTTAACTTCGTTTTTTAGTTTTTTTTCCCTTTCAACTTCTACTCTCGTGGTTATATCGGATTCGATAAGTTTTTGGAATCAGAGAGCGAGAGAAAGCTGCAATGGGTGCTCAAGAAAAATCTCAAGGGAACTCCAATTCAATGCAGGTCAGCTCAATCTCTCACCATTTTATAGAAGCTTTGTTTGGAGCCATATGATCGGCCTTTTTTTTAGTTCACTTCCAAAGATAAGCTAGGTATTCTTTGCAGAGTAAGTGAAGCTGCTTTCTTTCAATTAATATAACTTTATTTTTGGCTTCGTAGTTTGAGGTTCCTTTCATTTCCTTTTCTTTTTACTCTTGTCCCGAAGTGTTATTTGTTAAATATGACTTTGGTTTTGGCTTGAACTTTGAAGTGTTTGGTGAAGCGAATTTGGCTTTAAGTGGGATACCAGCCAATTCTGTTATTGGGCAATTAGAGAATTTGGTTTTAAGTTAGCATATTTGTGCTTTTTCATGGTAGTCTTTTTGCGATTCTAGTGTTTAATATATATGTTCAGAATGTGGACAAGTGTGTGTTTTATTTGTCAAGCAATGGATAAGGTATATTTAGCGAACCTTTCTTATTTTACTTCAAATAGTTGTTGTTTACATACCTTGCACATATTCCCAAAGAGGTATTGGAAGTACGATCTAAATTACAGTTGCTAGAGATTTCTGAGTTATGATGAGCGTGTTGTTCCGTGGGTGACTTACCTAATCTTAATGCAAAAACAGTTGCATACCTAATCTTGAATGCAAAAACAGTTGCATCATCGATAGAAACATCATGTGTTCAAGCAGAAGCATACAGATATCCAAATGTTATGGTAGGAAAATAATTACCTGGGAAATTTGCTTAAGACGGAGTCACGGGGGAGGGGTCATATAAGTTATTATTTGTTGTCAGTTTGACAACGGACGAATAACTGCTCAAGGTCTATCTTCATGTTAATGTGACTGCATTATTTTAATGATATTGTCATTGTGTGGGTCGACTAACACCATATCTTGCTCACGTTGTTTATATATGAATTCAGCGAGTGAAGGTCTATCGTTTGAGTGAGGATGGTAAATGGGATGATCAAGGAACTGGCCACGTCACTGTTGATTATTCGGAGGTTTGGTTAAAATCTTTTTCTTTCTTTTTCATCGTTTCTATAGTTTTGTTCTTCCAGTCTGGATTTACTGGATTTATTTTTGAAAATAACCTATTTTTATGACAATGTGTTCTTGCTTTTAAATGAATGCATATATGCTATAATTCAGAGATCAAAAGAACCTACTTTATTTGTTTTTGATGAAGAAGACAATGAGACTTTGCTTTTACACCGCATCAGCCCTGATGACATTTACAGAAAGCAAGAGGGTATTTTCTGGCTTTGATGATAGCAAACATGCTGCTCTTAACTGGATCATTGTCATTTTTGAATATTTCAGTTTGGTTGAATTATATATGCATTTATCTTCAGATACAATCATATCATGGAGAGACTCGGAATATTCTACAGAATTGGCACTTAGTTTCAAGAGAATACGGGATGCTCTTACTTATGGTAAGTATTACTTAATTGTTTATGGATTGTATCATGATTTTTGGTTTATTCCTTGTTGAGTGTTTGCATTCTATTGCAGGGACCATATTTGCAAATTGCAAAGAAATATGCATTTAAGCCAGATAGTGAGGCTAATGGTAGAGAACAGGCTGATTTGGAGAAATCACTAAGTTTGAGAGATGGCAGAACGTACAAGGAGGTTGTGAGTGTGGCTAACAGTAGGAGTTTGGATCAACAACGAATGGTGAATAGGGAGGCCAGAAGAAAGCAAATGGAGTGAGAAATGTATGGGATATGCACATCCTATCAGAAGATTTTTGCTGGGCGAAAAACTCCTTAACAGGGGCTATTAAAGATCCCTTACAGCCTGATATGGTGGTGAGAGCCAGGGTTTCAAACAGCGGAACGCAAACGTTATAGCGGCCGTTATTTTGCGGTTGTGCCGTTGTCTGAAACCGATATTGACGATTTTAACGGTGGGTAACGGATTCACATCGATAACAGTCCGTCGTGCCCGCAATTTAACGGGTAACGGTGTATAACGTCGATAACAGGACGTTAATAGCATTATTCTACCGTTACCGCAAAAAAACTTAAAAAAACTGTGTTTATCATCGCACGTTGACCACCACTGTTGAATATGATCTACGCTCGAAGGAGTTTTTGAGAGTTGGGAGACGGGAGTTGGAGAGGATAAAGGCAAAGCTTCTGAATTTTCTTTCTTTTTTTTAATTGAAATACATGAACTGTTTTTCAATTCAAGGAAAATATAAAGTGGGCCGTCCCACTCCCATTTCACTTTTTTTAATAAATTATAAAATATATTTTCAAGGGATATATTAATTTGTCATCCTCCCACCTTTTAAAATTTATAATTTAATCCTAATTTTAGAATGTAAACTTTAATTTTTTTAATTTAATCCTAATTTCAGTAATCTAAATTTCTACAATTTAAATTTTATACTTTTATTTTAATTCTATTTAATTTAGTTATTTTTTGTTCTTTAAGTTTATTCAAATTCCATTCAACATTTCAACATTCATTTTTCATATTTCATTACATTTTATTATCATGTTAAACTAATGTAATTAAATAGTAATTCAATTTCAATAATACATTATTTAAAAAAAACTTTATGTATATACAAATTTCAAATTTTATTGAAATTGAAGCATTCTAAAATTCATTAAAAATGTTTTCTTATAATTATAATTATAATTATTATGTTTTAGGATAAGTTGTGTGAAATTTTAAAAAAATCACGACCGCGACATCCACAGTGACCGCGATGGCATCCGCTATACCCGCAAACGCGATAAACGCGACGCGACCGAAAACGCTATTTGAAACCCTGGTGAGAGCTTTGGCAAAGGAGGGTTTTCAGGTTAAGATAATAAGGTGGGGATATGTTAGGAATGCCAGTATTATTATGTTCAATACAAATGAAGAGTTTTTAAAGGTGTGGTCAAGTCTTAGAGAGAAATTCCACTGCTGGTTTGATTGGGTAGATCCTTTGTTGAGTGAAGATGGAGTCCCTTTGGCCTATTGCTTGGTCGAGTTGGTTGGTTTACCGCTTCTTAGTTAGAGCGTACCTTTTCTGGAGAAGCTTGGAGGTAATTGGGGAAAGGTTGTTAGTATAATGGAGGAAACAAGAAATAGAGATGACCTCTCTTCGGCCAGATTGTTGTTAAGGGTTGCAAGCCCTTTTGATGTACAAGAATATGTTATTGTAGGATCTTATGGAAGATCGTTTAAAGATAAAATTAATGTGGGATCCAGCTCTAAATCTATCTCTGAAGCTTTAGAAGTCATGAGGCAGAATTGTTCATATGGCAGCTGCAGTGACGATGTGTCAAAGGGGGAAGATGGTGGAAACACAGAGAAGGAAGAAGACAATAGTGAGAACTCAGCAGAAGGATTCTGGTCAAAGGTTGACACGTGGCTTCAGAATAGTCAATATAGGGGGATGTCAGAAGAAGGTGGGGAACAGTATCTGAAAAAGAAGTCTGACTCTTTGCCCAATACTAATGGGGTGTCAGACAAATTTGAATTTGAATTAAATCCCAGTGGGGATTATGCAGGCCTTGGGCTGCGAGAGGCTGTGGACCAGAGTCTTCCGACCCATTTTGATTCTAATTGGGAGTCTTATTCTCCTGTTACTAAAATTATCCCAGCTGGCCCTGCTGTGAAGTTGAATTGGGCCAGGTCAGTAAATCAAAATAAGGTTCAGAATCTGTCTGAATTTATTGCAGAAGAAAGAATTTACCATTAGAAGAAGAAATAGAAGGGGGTCAGGAAGATGACGGCATTGTTCTTGGTAAGCTAGTAGAAGGAACTCTGATGCAAGCGGATAACAGTGAAGCAAAATTTTTAAAGCGGTTGAATCAGGGACTTCATGGTTCTACATGTTTGTCTATTAGAAGTGCCCCTGATGGTAGAAGGGGAAGAGGACGCTTTGCTCGAGTCTATAGGAGGTCAAGAGATAGAAGAATATGGTTGTGTTCTGCTATTGAAGATGATGACTTTCGCCCACTGGCTACTACGAGGATTAAGCAGAACATTTATGATTTTAGAAGAAGTTATCAATTTTCTAGAACTATTATTGGAAGTGGATAAGATAAGGACTTCAATTATTCTGTCGATTTCCAGAATACATCTATGGTCCCTGTCATTAGTAGTGATATCGTCGAGAGTGTGGAAGCAACTAATGTGACTGCTTCAGGGAAAGGAAATGAAAACATAAGGAAGAGGAGAGTCTTAATTTTTGAAGCTCTTGAACTGGTTAATAATTCGACTATTTCATCATCCTCTTTTTCATAATTGATGAAGGAAGCATTGGATACATGAGAAGTCTGTGAGATGTTAGGAATTTCATTTAAGGAAGGGAATGAGGCTTTTATTGAAAAATTATTAAGTCTTGAAAAAGAGTCAGATGTAGTAAGGGGAGGATGATGGTTGGACTGTATATGTTGTGTGTAGGGGGTATTTCTTGTTTATGAATAAATTAAGTATTATTTCGTGGAACATTAGGGGTCTCGGGAGGAGTGAAAAGTGTGTAGCTGTAGCAAGGCTTGTCAAGAAGTTGAAACCAATTTTTTCTGTTCATTCAAGAATCCAAGTTGGAACGATGCCATGGGTCGATTTTAAGAAGAATATGGGGTAACTTGTTAAAGGGGGTGCAGGTCTCTCTAGCACAGGGTTCATCGGGGGGTTTGATTTATTTGTGGAATGAGAATGTGGTTCAAGTCACAGATCAGATGTTCATAGTAGGTTTTTGGAATTAGTGGGAAAAATTTAAGAATGGTCCGATGGAGTTTGTAGTTATTAATGTTTATGGGCCTCCAGTTGAAGCTGAGAAGGAGGATTTTTATGAGGAGTTTCTAAACTATGTTAGTGCTATAAATTTACCAGTTTGTTTAGGGGGAGATTTCAACGCGTATCTTGATCCAGAAGAAAAGATTGGGAAATCACAAAATTGGCATACTATCGATATTTTCAGTATTTTGTGCAACATGCCAAACTTATTAACTTGCCTGTGTTAGGAGGTTCTTTCACTTGGTGCAACAATATAGAATATTCAACATGGGTGAGACTAGACCAGTTTCTAATTTGTGCAAGATTCTTTAAGAATTTCCCTAACATTTCGCAGTTTCTTTTACCAAAATCTATTTTAGATCATAATCCAGTTTTGTTGGAGGATAAGTCTACAAATTAGGGCCCTAAACCTTTTAGGTTCTTTAACTTTCTTTTAGAAGAACAAGGTTTCGATGACTTAGTTGTAGAATCTCTGGTAGTAGATAAAAGGAAGAAAAATAGTGGTGGAATCTTCAGAATACTGCAAAAAGCTAAAAATAAAATCAAGAACTGGTCTGGAAGTAGCCATTTAGGGCTGGCAGAGTCCATTTCGTTGCTGGAAATTAAAATTAACAGTTTGGACTTAAAGTGTCAAGGTGAAAATTTGTTTGCATGGGAACGGGATCAATTGACTGAATTTAAAATGGAATTATGGAGGCTACTAAGGATCGAGGAGAAGATTTGGTTTCAAAAATCCAGAAATAGGTGGAATAAAGATGGTGACAGGAATACAAGGTTTTTTTCACCTTATTGCTATGAAAAGGAACATAATCAACACTATTTATTCTATCAATTTTAAAGGCATATTAATCTCGGATCCAGAACAGATAAAAGACAGTGTGTTTAATTTTTTCAAGAATGCCTACAATGAAAAAACAACACTGGAAGTTGAGGGCCTGAATTTTGATTTTAAACAGTTATCTCAAGCTCAAAGTGATTTTCTAGAGGAGGTGTTTACAGAGCAAGAAGTGTGGCAAGCAATTTCATCTTCTGAAAGTGCAAAAGCTCCTGGGTCGGATGGTTTCACCATGGGTTTTTACAAAAGTACTGGAAGTTTTTAAAGGTGAAGATTATCGAGTTTATTTTCTTCAGATTTCTACAATGGAAAGTAGTGGGTTCATGGGGTTAATCACGCTTTTATTACCTTGATTCTAAAGAAAGGTAATCCTGAGAGTATTGAAGATTATAGACCTATTAGTCTAGTGGGCAGCTTGTATAAGATTCTCTCTAAAGTTCTTTCAAAAAGACTTATATCTTGTGTTAAAGATATTGTTAGCCCTACACAGTTTGTTTTCATTCCGGGGAGGCAATTGTTGGATTGTGCTTGTTTAGCCAATGAAGCATCGATTACTGGAGGAAACAAGGACTGTAGGGGGTTGTTTTTAAAGTGGATTTTAGCAGAGCATATGACACTGTGGATTGACAGATTTTGTTAAGGCTTATGAAGGAGATGGGCTTCGAAGAAAAGTGGTGTTCTTGGATTGATCAGTGTATTTCCACAACCTCAATATCTGTTTTATTGAATAGTCTCCTATAAAAGAGTTTCATATTGCAAAAGGTTTGCGACAAGAATGTAGTCTTTCTCCTATTTTGTTTAACGTGGTTGGTGAACTTCTTCATATGATGTTAGCTAAAGATGTGGATTCGGGCTTATTCTAAGGATTTTCTTTTGGAAAGAGTCAAAACTGTTTCAATTAGACTCATCTTCAGTTTGTTGACGACTTAATTTTTTTTGTCGAGCCTCCATCACTCAAATTAAAAATGTTAGACGAGTGTTGACGATTTTTAGTTTTATGACGGGGCTTCATCTTAATTTAGTTAAAAGCAAACTTTATGGTATTAATGTGGAGGAGGACATCATTGGTAATTGGGCTAAGGACATTAGCTGCTCTATTGGTTTCTTTCTGACGGTTTATTTAGGCCTTCCGTTAGGGGCTAAAAAAATTGTGAGAAATTGTAGGAGCTGGTCATCGTCAACTTCGATAAGAAATTGGCGGATGGAAAGCTTCCTCTTTGTTTATGGTCGGTAGATTGGTGCTTATAAAGTCGGTATTATCCTCCTTACCTATATTTTATCTTTCCATTTTCAAGATTCCATCTAAGATTTGTCAAAAATTGAACTCTTTGATGGAGAACTTTTTATGGGGGTGGAGGGGAAGAGAAGAAGAAAAATGCATTGGGTGAGTTGGAATAAGATCTGTAAACCAAAAAGAGCAGGTGACCTAGGAGTTGCTGACTTGAAGCTTACTAATAGAGCTTTGTTGGGAAAGTGGGTTTGGAAGTTTGCAAATGAGAAAGAATCCTTGTGGAAGAATTTATTATGCTCTAAACATAATGTTAGTTGTATTTCTATGGATGTAAATAAATTCCTTTCTCACAAGGACTCTTGGATTTGGAGAGGTATTGTGAGCTACACGAAGGATGATTTCATTGGAGGATGCATTAGATCTCATGCGAGGCTACAAGTTGGGAATGGCAAATTGATTTCCTTCTGGGATGATACATGGCTGGGGGATTTTCCTTTGAAAGTTCTTTTTCCTAGGATTTTTGCTCTTTCATCAAACCAAGGGGGGTAAGGTTGCTGATTTTGGTAGCTTTGATTCGAATGGATGGGAGTGGAATTTTAAGACTAGGAGGAACCTATGTGATTGAGAAATGGTTCAACTGGTTGGATTATTGGGTAAGCTCAATGATATCAAATTAAATGAATATTTGGAGGATTGTTTGCTTTGGGATGGCGTGGGTGAGGGGTTGTATTCTGTAAAAGCTTGCACGACATCAATCTCCTCAGTTGATGAGGATCCTTTCATTTGGAGTAAATGTGTTTGGCAGGGACTGGTTCCTCCTAGAGTAGAGGTTTTCCTTTGGCAAGTATCACTCAATAAATTAGCGATTAGAGTGGAATTGAAGAAAATGGGAATTCCTATAGGGGAGGACATTCAATGCCCCTTTTGCAATCAAGCTGAAGAATCAGTTCAGCACCTGTTTATTTCCTGCCAGTTTTCATGGGTGTTATGGAATATAATTATAAGCTATTGGGGTTTCAGGTTAGCCTTACCTACTGATCCTTCTTCACTTCTAAATTCATAGTCTGTTTTGAGGCCTTATTCAGATATGTAGAAGTTTATTCCGGGGGCTGTTTTTTGGTCAATTTGGAAGACGAGAAATGAAATTATTTTTGAAAGAGGTAAGATGGACATCCTTACTGTTTTTCACAGTTAGGGTATGGTTAGCGAAATGGTTCCTAGCTAAGTATCCTCTACTCTCTATTCAAGTGGATTCTTTAATTGGGGATCCTTCATTGGTTGATAAAATTTTAGCTTCTATGGATTTGAACAGCCTGTGGTTAGCTGGAGTCCTCCTCCAGTCGATGTTTTTAAGTTTAACATGGATGGTGCTGTGAGTAGTGTTGGGATGTTAGTTGGAATTGGGGGAATTCTAAGAGATAGGAATCGGATTAAGCTTTTTTCATTTTCAGAAAAAATAGGTCCTACTCCTATCATTTTAGTAGAGTTGAAAGCTATCAAAAGAGGATTAGACATCTTTGTGTCATCAGAATGGGTAATGAAGGGAAGGCTCATTATTGAAAGTGATTGCAAGTTAGCCGTGGATTGGTTGAATTATCAGGAGTCGGTTCCACCTTTTCTTTTAAACGTTGTTAAGGATATTGCGGCTACTGTTTTGAGAATGAGGTCATTGTGAGGTGGATTCCGAGAAGCTGCAATTGCGAGGCAGATTTGCTTGCAAAGGAGGGGATTGGATAATGGTTCACTTTGTTGTACTGAGTTCGGATGTTTTATTCCAAGGGGGTTATTAGAGTGTGGTTAATTTTATGTATATACAAGGAGTGGTTTAATTCTTATGTAATTTATTTATAATCAATATATTCTGGTACTCTTTTCCTCCTTTCGCTAGTCGGTTCTAACCTCATGGTAAAGGACTACTAAGAAGGAGGTTTTTAATGAGACCTACTATTCCTATAAAAAAACAGTAAGTACTTTTGAAATCTGATTGAAATTAATTATTAATTCTTACTCCTTAATTTAATCAAACATTGCATCCTTATAAATGGTTTAACTTTCTTACTGGTTTTCCCCCCAAAAGAGACTTCAATTCCAGGCAAAAACTAACTTTAAATTTATTAGCAGTTATTTTGGTTAATCTAATAATTTATTTGACTTCTGCCTTAGAAGTAGGAAGACATGAATTAAATGTGCTTTATTTCTTGAGTTACTTGCGTCTTCAACCTCTGATTCACAGAAAATTGTTTTTTCCCCAGACATCTATGTGAATTTTATATTAGATTTTCTTATTAAATTTACCATTTGAGCAATTTTGAAATACAATCATGGATAATGACATAATGTTTGTCTCATATATGATTACTGCAGATGAGATATTTCACGCAGTAAATAGCGAGTTGAGGGAGTTGCCAGCTGTGGAGCTTTCTACTCTTCCCATAATCCTCAATGTTATAATGAATTATCGAGTTCTCTTGATTGCATTCTGTTTCGGTTTATTTTTGTTGCTTGCTGTAGTTTTGAGCCTTTTTTCTTTTCAAAAACATTGGACATGTTTACTCATAATGCTTTTCTCCCTCATCTTCTCTCTCTATCTCTTAAAGTATGAAGTTAATGGTTTTTAAGCTCCCATAATTCTAAGCGTCAACAGTCCGATTGAATCATGGATCTTAGATTCAGGGGCATTTTTCCACTCCACCCCATGCCAAGAAATCATGGAGAACTATGTCAGTGGTGACTTTGGGAAGGTTCATCTAGCTGATGATGAAACCTTGAAGATCGTCGGAAAATGAGACATCCGATTAAAGTTGCCAAACCAGACCACTTGGAAACTGAAATAAGTGAGACATATTCCTGGTCTCAAAAGAAATTTCATTTCAGTAGGACAACTTGATGGAGAAGGATAGAGTACAACCTTTTTAGGTTGTGAATGGAAGATTACCAAAGGAGCACTCGTCATTGCTCGTGGTAAGAAGACTGACACTCTCTATGTAACCTCAAACTTAGAATATCATTACAGTAGCAGATGTTGATGGAAAATCAAACCTATGGCACCAAAGGGTTGGCCCTATGAGCGAAAAAGGGATGAAGACACTTTTTTTCAAAAGGGAAGCTGTCGGATCTAAAGAATATAGATGTCGAACTATGTGAGGATTGCATATTTGACAAACAAAAGAAAGTCAGTTTTGTAAAGATTGACAAGACACCAAGGCTGAAAAGTTAGAGTTGGTTCATACTGATGTATTGAGACCATCTCCAGTTCCATCTCTTGCAGGCTCACTATATTATGTCACCTTCATCGATGATTCTACAAGGAAAGTGTGGGTTTATTTTCTGAAGAAGAAATCAGAAGTCTTTGATACCTTCAGAAAATGGAAGGCCATGGTGGAAAATGAGACTGGTTTGAAAGTCAAGCGGTTGAGGTTTGATAATAGAGGAGAGTACAGAAATAGTAGATTCAGAGATTTCTGCGCAAACAATGGGAACAAGATAGAGACAACAGTTCCCATGGCAGTAAACAGAATGACGTAGCAGAGCGCATGAAAAAAACTCTGAATGAATATGCCAAAAATATGAGGATACTTGTCGGCTTGCCCAAATTGCTATGGGCTGAAGCTATCAACACTGAAGCTTACTTGATCAACCGTAGGCCCTCAGTTCCCTTGGATGGTGGAATACCAGAGGAATTTTGGAGCAAGAAAGAAATAAACCTTTCACACTTAAGAGTGTTTAGTTGTATTTCTTATGTATACATAACTTCTGCTGAAAGAAGTAAACTTGATGCCAAATCCAACAAATGTGTCTTTGTTGGTTATGGTGGTGATGAGTTCGGTTACTGGTTTTGGACTATGAAAATCGGAAGATCATCAAAAACAGAGATGCCATTTTCAATGAGAATGTAATGTAAAAAGACAGGTCAACCATAGAATCAAGTAGCTCCAATACCAAAGCTGAAACAAAGGAATTTGTTGAGTTTGAGTATATTTCTGGATATGATGTTCAGATCAGTCCTGAAGAAGTTCAAGAAGAACCAGACACACCAGAACTGAGACGCTCCTCTAGAATTCCTAAACCAACCCAGCGTTATTTGCCCTCTTTGTACTACTTGTTGCTGACTGACAATGGTGAACCAGAGTGCTATGATGAAGCAATACAGGTGGAGGATTCAGTCAAGTGAGAGTCTTCTATGAAAGATGAGATGGACTCGCTTATGTCAAATCAGACGTGAGAATTAGCTGAATTACCACTAGACAAGAAAGCGCTCCAAAACAAGTGGGTTTACAGGATCAAAGAAGAGCACGATGGGAGAAAACTCTACAAAGCAAGATTGGTTGTCAAAGGTTTTCAGCAAAAGAAGGTATTGACTACAATGAAATTTTCTCTCCAGTCGTGAAGCTGTCTACAATCATATTGGTGTTGAAAATTGTAGCTGCAGAGAATCAACATCTTGAGCAGTTAGATGTAAAGACAACTTTCCTTCATGGTGATTTGGAGGAAGAAATCTATATGAGGCAGGCAGAAGGCTTCATAGAGGCAGACAAGAAAAACCTGGTATGCAGGTTGAAGAAGAGCTTGCATGGTTTAAAACAAGCTCCTAGACAGTGGTACAAGAAGTTTGATAGCTTCATGGGTAGTAGTGGTTTTACCAGATGCCAAGCAGATCATTGTTGCTATATCAAGAAGTTCGACAACAACTTCATTATTTTATTGTTGTGCGTTGATGACATGCTCGTTGTAGGCTCAGACATGCAAGAGATTATAAACTTGAAGAAAAAATTGTTGAAGCAGTTTGCAATGAAAGATTTGGGCGTTGCAAAGCAGATTATTGGGATGAGAATGAAGAGAGACACAAAGTCAGGGACTTTGATGTTATCACAGACTGAGTACATCAACAAAGTACTCTCCAAGTTTAACATGCAAGATGCTAAACCAGTAAGTACACCTTTAGGTGTTCATTTTAGACTCTCCAAAGAACAGTCACCAAAGACGGAGGAAGAACGTGCACACATGGTGAAGGTATCATATGCCTCAACAATTAGAAGTCTGATGTATGTCATGGTTTGTACTAGACCAGATATTGCTCAAGCAGTGGGAGTTGTTAGTAGGTACATGAATAATCCGGGCAAGGTACATTGTGAAGTAGTCAAATGGATCCTCAGATATCTGCGGGGTACCACAAACAAAATACTTTATTTCAAAGGTGGAAATATAATATTGACAGGCTATGTAGACGTTGACATCAAAAAAAGCACTACAGGGTATGTCTATACTTTAGGAGGTACTACAGTGAGTTGGGTTTCTCAACTAAAGAAGATATTTGCTCTCTCCACAACTGAAGTAGAATATATCGCTGTTACGGAAGCCAACAAGGAGAAGGTCTGACTCCAAAGTTTCTTGGAAGAGTTAGGCAAGAAACAAGAAAACATTGTCTTGTATTGCGACAGTCAAAGTGCTATCCATCTAGCGAAGAATCCGTCTTTTCATTCCAGGACGAAGCACATACAATTGCGATATCATTTTATCCAATCTCTTTTGGAAGATGGGATTTTGAAACTTGAAAAGATCAGTCAAAATCCGGCAGACATGTTAACAAAGACGGTGACTACGGGAAAACTGAAGTTGTGTTCAGCTTCAGTTGGCATGCTGGAGTAACAAGACCAGAAATGTTGTTGCATTGATCGAGGTGTGAAGAAAGATTAAAATCAGTTTTCAAGTAGGAGATTGTTGAAAGTGAAAGTCAAAAGGGGGCATCGTCGAATGGTTTTCAACAAAGGGGGCATCGAATTTTATGGTTGATTTTGTTGATTTTTTTGGCATGGAAAATTTCAACTTTAGTTCATGCACTTTAGAGTATTTACAAGATTAGTCCTTAAGCTTCAACTATAAATACCCTAACCCATTTAGCTTCAAAATCATTGCTTTCTCCCAATACTAAAGAGTTTAGAGAGTTTTCTTGTGAGTTGTGAGTGTTTTGTAAACACCTGTAAATTTTCTATCTTTAGTAAAAGATCTGCAGCAATCTGGAGATGTGGGCATAATTGGCCGAACTCCATTATCAATTTCAGGAATTATTTTTGCGCTTTTATTTCACATTCTCACTAATCTGATCATAAGAAAATTACTCGTTTAATTCCCAACATTAAGCCAAGCTGTGTTGTCTGGTAAGAAAACTGCAAATGTTGTGCATTTATCTACCCGATCAGCTGAGGTAAACGAAGGCTCAGGTGAGGAAAATCATTTAGAGAAGGAATTGAGCAGTCCAGGAGATTCTGATGACAATAGTTCAGAAGAGGACAACCATAAAGATAAAGATCCTCCTAGAAACTGTTCAGATCGCCTGCTTATCCCCTCAGAAAATAGGCAAATAAGTGGAGAGGACTCCTCGTTGATACCGCCAAAATCGTCACCTAAATGGCCGTAAATGGATCATGAGTGGTGGCAAGGAGACTTGTTCAACTTGTTTGTTTTATTCGACTCAAGGATGTGTTTGTTGACTAAAGCAGTCCTTTGGGGACTACCAAAGTGGACACGGATTCGGAGGAAGTGAGAAATTGTCAGGGGGGACGATCGTGTATAGTGCTGCCACCGGAAGGCTAGAAGAAATGTACTCAATATCATTCCACGGCCAAGTAAGTTCTGCAATGCAGTTTCGGATGCTGTGAGCTGCCCTTGAAAGCTGCATTTGTAAAAACATTCCCCGTTTTCTCAAATATTTTGTTTTGTTTCTTTAAATCTATTCTTAAAAAATGCTCTTTGATGAAAAAAACTGATAGAATTGAGGAGTGAAATTTGCCCCTTTTTTCATTGAAAAAACATTCGATATAATTTGATATAATAATAATTTTAAAATTTATGTATTTATATATTTTAGTTTTAATTTAAAACAATTTAATTTTAAATCTTGTCTGTTTAATATTTTACAATAATATTAAATCAGATTAGTTCATTCAACTAAAACAATAATTGAATAATTATATTTTAAAGTTTAATTCCATTCGCATCTAATCGAAATATCTGTTTAACTTTGTCTAGTTGTATTAAAAAATGAATTAAATCCTCATCTTTAATCAACTATAATAGTTAGTGATAAATTTAGAAATAATATTTAGATGAACATGCATATATTAATAACATAATTTTTTTATACAGAATAGATATAATAAAATTTCAAGATAAATATTTTTAATAAAAAAATTATTAAATAAAAAAAATTAAATTTTAAGGTGAATATGTACATGATCCTCATCCGCCACTGATAATAGGTGGTGAAAACATAGAAGCATGGAATGCCACGAATCAGGATACATGCACCAGACATGGAAGCTCTTACCAACACGTGTTCTTCTACCTCTTCTGTTCTCCTCCCTCAAACCCTACCCCTCTACTTCCTTCTTTACTCATCAGCCTTTACCAACTTCTTATTGTTATTATCAGACCAAAGCAATGGGCGGCAACTTGGAGACAAGGTCTTTGCTTGACGAACTGCGTAGCTTCGACAATGGCGGATTCTGCGATCTCGGTCACCCTCTCCTCAACCGCGTTGCTGACAGCTTTCTCAAAGCTGCAAGCGTACGTGTTTGTTTATGTCTTCTTTTTGTTTGAAGAAAAGCCCCAATGAAAAGTATGATGTTTGTTGTTGGTGGGTTGATTTGAGTTTGCAGATTGGTGCAATCAAGGCTGTTGCCAGAGAGGGTTGTCGTCTAACTCTTGAAGGAAATTGGTCAACTACTTCCTCTGATCTCGATGCTTCTGGTGCTAAGAACGATAAGAAGCATCCCTTCCCTCATCTAAGAGGTATCATCAAATGCTTACTCGCTCATGATCATTTCTTTTATCTATTTGTTTAATCGGAATAATAATAATAGGAGGATTATAGTCTATTTATTAAAATTAATTTGAAATTTAAAATTAATGTGTCATGTTCTGATTAGACATATTCGGTTTTGTTATTAATAGGGACAAGGACGAAGTTAGGAGAATCAGATATTAAGAGGAGCAAATTATCTAATTTTAAAATAATAAGTATTTATTATAAAAGAGAGTATTTAATTCCAAAAAAAAAGAGAGGGACAATAATATAATTTTATTTAAGTTTAAATTGACAGGTACTTGAAATATTGTTATATAGAAAAATTTAGGAGGGGTAAAAGTCTATCTAACTGTGCATGTATCTTCGTTCCTGGATACAATATAATATAGTGACCAATAGATGTTTATGTTAAGGGGATAAACCAAAATTATAAAATTTAAGGTGAAAATATATTTTTAATAGAAAATACATTAAAAAAAATATATGATAATTTTAAATTTTCAAGGAGTATCCGTCGACTCTTTATCTCTCCCTCCCTAGATAGGGACATAATGTAAAGAAAGATGGTGAGAGTTAGAGTTTAACTACATCTAGTTTAGGATCTAAAAAGCAAAATTGACCTCCAAAATTGGAAATTCAAGATTTAATTTGTCTATTCTCAAATCTAAGAGGACCTAACAAAGCAATTGGACTTAGAGATTAGAAGACTGTTTGAGTAATTTAAAATTAACAGTTATCTAAAAATAATTAAACATAAAATTTTGGGGGGCATGACCCTTCCCGCCATAACTTTGGCTCAGTCACCGTCGATTGCTATTTCAATTTCTAGTGAAAGTTTCAATTATTATTGCTTATATATATGTTGATTGCAGGTGAAACCAATAAGAAATCCCTCGAAGCAATGGTATGCTCTTCATTCCCCTGGTGTCATATGCTGCATGCCTCTCTAAAATCATCTATATGTTTTGCTCTAAATCATAGCATCGGTCTTTATTCTCTGTATTGTTTACTCGATTCCACTCAAGTTTTACGTACAAGTATGTGTCCGGTACGAGTATACCCTTTTTCAAGCATTCAACGGATCACTCTACTTCACTACTCGTGTTCATATTCGAACATGATTGAGTATGCTTTTTCTCTTTCTCATATATTTTACTACTCATCATGTTCATAGCCGAATACGATCGAATACCCCTTTTGGAGTATAATACCTTCACATTCTCTTCCGGGTGCAGTTTTATGTTCATGCCCGTAACCAAATACATGTTTCATTCTACTATTGTGTGTGTATGTATTGATTGACGACTTTGTTACTTGTAACAATTGTATACAACAGGTGAAGAGCACTGGGAAAGAATCTCTAGAATGGGGTAAGTTTTTCCTTCTTGACAGTCCGGTAGTCGGTTGCTCCGTTTGACATAATCATGAAGCATTAATTGATCTTATACAGGGCTGGCTGCCGGCTTATATTCCGGTATTACGTATGGCCTACAAGAGGCTCGAGGCACGCACGATTGGGTAAGTTTGACTTCTTTCTTGTTAACCAAGATACATTTCTGTATCCTGGCTTCAGCCTGGATCATAGACTTGAACCGAAAAATCGATTTCATTTGGTCAACAAATCGCCGAAACACCGATCGAATTGTATGATGTTGGATATCGATTTTTGGTGCACAAAAACAGTGCCGTTGCGGAGGCACTTACGGGGATGACAGTGGCACTCACATGCGAGAATGGTTCCCATGAGCAGCTGTTGCAATGTGCCATCACTGGAGCCGCCATCTCCACAGCGGCGAATCTCCTGACCGGAATATTTTGAAACCCTCCGTCTTAATAAGACGGTATAATATGAAACTGACTGTCTTGTTTTCGCAGCTTAAGACAGAAAGACCAATTTTGTGGCATGTAATTGTTTAGTGCTTTTCTTATTTTCCTAATATGATTTTTAATATATTTATTTTCTAATTTTACAAAACAAAAATATTTAAAAGCAAAAATATATAAGAAATTTAAAGGATAAACTATATTTCCAATTTTGTGACATTTAAATTTGTGGCATGTAATTCCCCTTCTTCGTTACTCTAGATAAAAATTGTTAAAAAAATAATTTAATTAATTTAATATTTTTTTATTTAAAAAACTATTGGTTTCCTTTTTGTGATATTTATTAAATCAAGTGAATTTATCGGATTGAATAAAATTTGAAATTTACTTACAAAAATATTAATCAATTATATGGTTGGAAAAACATAAAAGAGGATATCTTAAACTTATAATAAAAAATAAATTTCCTAAAAAAGACTTTGTCCATCTTTTATCTAATATCTCATATATAATAATAAATATAATATTTTTTTTGATAAAAAGTAATACCATATGAGATAGTAAAATAATTTTAATTAATAAAAAATAACATAATATTTATAGGACAAAGAATAAGTAATATAAGATAAGAATAAATATTAAATTGACAAAAATTTTAAATTTTAAAAGATAAATTTATAGTTTTTTATACAAGATTTTAAAATTAAAATTATTATTATATCATATTACATAAAATTTAATTTTGGTAAAATAATGTGTTTGTAACAATATTTAATTAAATAATTAAATAAAAATTTTATTTGGAAATATGATCTATTTATTATAATCTGTCTAAAATATAGTTTACCAAATCCAAATTACAAGAGAAAAAGACGAAATGCCCACCTCTCGTATATATTTATGGTGAGAGTAAAAAATAAATAGCCAAATTATAAAATTTCTCTCTTTTTTTATTTGCATCTTCTCCCACGCGAAGTACTACTGGTAAGCGTTGATTCCCTTCTTGATATATGAATTTCTCCCCAAAATATGTTCAATTTAGGGTTTAATAGACTATGAACGTAGAAATTTTTTCAATCATCGTGTTTTGGGGTTGGGGTTTGCTGCTGTTCTGAAACTCTAATCCCTCCTTTTGGTGTTTACATTTCGTTGTTCTGAAGAGAAAAATCAGCTTTTCTTATGATTTCTTGGTTGTTAATTGATAGATTCGGTAAAATTAATTTTTATGCCCTAATTATATATCTTGATCTGTTTGATTTCGTTGTTAGCGAAATTTTTATTTTTCGTTTCATTGTTAAATATTGTGATTATGATAAAAATAGGGTTTTTGTATTGATTTGTTTAGTACTACTTGTTTTAGAAGGAAGGATTTGGATTGAATTGAACTGAATTGTATTTTCTTCAAGATTGGCTATCTATTCTGTGTAAAAGCATAGTGAATTTTTTTTGTAAATTGGATTTCTTTCGAGTAATTTAATTAAAAAATATATGTTTTAGAATGAAGAAACTGGGAATTTGAATGCAGGGTGCTGGAGATTTAGGTTGAATAATCTATATGTTTGTCTAACCTAGTTTTATTTTTGTTATTGTGTATTCGAAAAGATGTCGAGTAAGAAAGAAGAAAAAACCCAGGCAGCGGCTGACAGAATCAAAGCTGCAGCCTTGACTGCCGCAAAGGGTCTTAGTCGTGCTCAAGCTGAAAGGGCGGCGGCAGCTGCAGCCCGAAATGTCAATGCCTATGGGCAAAAGGAAGAGGGGCCGAGCAGATGGCAGGAGAAAAGGGAAGCGAAGCGGCAGATGTATTTGATGAGTACCGAAAAGGCGGTGCGAATTGGTGAAAGGAAAGACAAGATGACGATGACTACTACGATGGGCGCTTCACAGTGCCAAAAGTGTTTCCAAGCTGGGCATTGGTCGTATGAATGCAAGAACGAACGAGTCTACATTTCACGGCCCTCACGTACGCAGCAGCTTAAGAACCCGAAACTGAGGATGAAGCTTTCGATCTCTTATGATTTGGACAACTCAGACGTCAAGGATGAAAATGAAGGGAGTAGATCTAAGAAAAGCAAGAGGAAGCATCGAAGAGATTCTGGGTCCGGTTCTGATAGTGAGGCTTCAGTTTTTGAGACTGATAGCGGTGCCTCGTCTGTTACGGGATCGGATTCTTCCTCAGCAGATAGTAGCACAGATGACAGTTCATCATCCGAGTCTGAGGAAGAGAGGAAGAGGCAGAGGAGGAGGAAGCAGAAGAAGAAGGTGAGGCGTAGAAGGTACAGTTCATCTTCCGAGTCTTCTGATTCAGACTCCCGTTCAGATTCTGATTTCGATGATAAGAGCCATCGGAGGAAGAGCCGAAGGCATGGTAAAAGGCGATGAAGAAGAGATTTCAGTACACATCTTGCCTGTTCAATGTCGGACTCTACATGCCGGTAATCAAGCCCTCTGAAATAAGTTTGGTAGATGTTATAATTCCTTTTCCATTTACTTGTGATGCTTATAAATGACAATAGTTCCTAGTAGTTGTGAATTAGCGGAGTTGTTCGTTGATTCCTTTCATGAAAAGATTGTAGCTTGAATATGTGCACCGGGTTTTTCGAGTTTCCGACTATCATTGCATATAAACCAATTTATTTGCATTCATGATTTTATTGTATTCATGTCGGAGAGATACACACCGATAGAAATCGACAACGAAGGTGGAGGACAGATCCATGAAACGAGGGAATGAAGGATTTGGACCGCCGGAGCATCAGGGGGCAATCCGACGGGAAAACAAGGGCTAGACTAGATTATTCTAAAAAGTGTTTGATTCTTCCAAGAGTTTTTCAATTGCAGAAAGTGGTCATTGATAAATGTTTAGTTCTTCCAGCTACCACTAAATAAGATTATTTTATTTAATTTTAATTCAATATGCGAGATATTTATAAATTAAAATATATAAAACATTAAAAGATAAGGGTTTTTGTTTTACTACTTAAATTTTCAATTTTTTTAAAATTATACTTAAAATTTATTTTTTGTTTCATTTTAGTTTCCATTGTTAAAATTTTAATTAGTTTTTGTCCGTTTTAGTACCTTAGTTTTCCTTTTTTTTCTTCAAAATTTAAGTATGGTTTAGGTACTAAACGTGTTTTAGTACCTAAATTTTCAATTTTTGTAACACTTTAATTTTGGTACTAAAAATGAAACAAAAATTAAACTCTAGATATGATTTTGAAAAAAAATTAAAAGTTAAGGTACTAAAATGGATAAAATTTGATAGTGTAGGCACTAAATATGTAGTTTATCCAAAAGATAATTACAATATTAGAAAGACTTAATATAAAAATAAGTGTCTAAACTATACCTTGAATTGATTTTTGGTGTTTACATAATTTTTCGTTAAAAATAGATGTTAACATTTCCAATATTGCACTTTTAGGTGCATGGATTGTAACCGTTAGGGGTGTTCAAATTAATCCATTACCGTTAACCGATGTAACCACAATATTTTATAGGTTAATTAATCGAACCACTAAATATTAGATAACAGTTACAGTTACGGTTAATAAATTTTGATAAATGGTTAATTATTGGTTAAAAGTTAATATATTATAATTAATTAGTTATATTTTTTAAAGAATAGAATTAGAAACAAAATCAAAACAATTCCTCTTGTTTTTTAATTATCATGTTTATCTTATATAGGAGCATATTAAATCAAACATATATAGAATAAATACATGATTTTAAATTATAAAATATAAATATACACATAAGATTTTAAACTGTAAAAACGAATATACCTCGTAATATATATATTTCTACAAAATAAAATACATTTACAAATAAATAAGATTTTTTTACAAATATACATGTTTCTATCATCGTAAATTTTATAAAATTTTAAGTTTTGTTATGTTTGAAAAATATTGTAATAGGCATATGTTACCCTATAACTGAACCGTTAATTGTTATTAACCATTAGCGATTAATCATTTCTTAATGGTTAGGTTAGGGTTAACAAAATTTAATAACCGTTATAATGGTTAACTGACTGTTTAGACTTAAGAGTACATTTAACCAATCATGAAAACCTTTAGTAACCGTCTTTGAATTTGGTTGTTATCTTACGAGTGTTATGTATATAAATATTTTTCGCTTTTTTATTTAAAAAACACTTAATATTATAATTTTCTTTATAAAAAACCCCAAAAATTTTCACCATCAGTTCATGATCGTCATTGTTGATACTATTATAATCATCTCGCCGTCGCGACCAAAAATCAATCCTCTACTCACCGCAAAATTGTGTCAATCATCTTGGAAACTGCATGAAGGATCGTCGAATTTTTAGGTTTTCCTTTGATGTTTTTTCGATGATTTCAACGGTTTCAGTTGTTAGTGTGTTACACGGCCGCCACCATTGGGTTCTTCGCTATGCTCCGAATAAAATTCAGCCAATGGTAACTCTTCAGCATCAGAGGTGGGGGATGAGAGGGAGAGGTGATGACACGGAGTGTTGGGTTTTTAAAAAAAAAGTCTTTTTTAATATAATTTTTTTATTTAAAAAATAAAAAAATCAAAAAGTATAATGGTATACACCTAAAAGTGTAACATAGAAAATATTGAACACCTATTTTAAATAAAAAATTCTTTAAGCACCAAAAATTAATTTGAAGTATAATTTAAACCCTTATTTTTGTATTAAGTTTATTAGAAAATAAATGTTAAAATTAAAAAAAAACAATTTGTATCTTTCTCCCTATCTCACACACACATATATATATTAACATCAAATGATTATCGCAAATAAATTTATATTAAAAAAATAAATTATAATGATAAATTGAAATTGTTTTTTTTAAAAGGGGTCTTGTATAGTATTGACAGGAAACTTGTACAATAATTTAAAATTATTTAAAAATTACTAAATCATTTTAATAATTGTCCATTACATCTTTTTATATAATCTTATATAAGACCTTATTTTTTGATATTTACATTTTATTTTAAAATTAATTTCTATTCACATTAATGTTTTCTTTTACTTAAATAAAATATTATTAATAAAAATATATAAATACTTGAAGTAAACTTAGAATCTCATTAAAAAATACTCAAAAATATAAAATATTATTAAATGTAAAATAATAATAATAATAATATTGTTAAATTTTAAATAATTAAAACCTAACATATAAAGTAATAATGAAAATAGAATCTCTTTCATGATAGATATGATATTTGTCGACTAATATTGAAAGTTAATTCTTTAATATTTTTATATTATTTGAATGATATAATGTTAATACATCTATTTATAATGCTAAAAACTTAATTTTAATTTTTATATAATTTTAATTAATTAAATAGTGATTAATATAAAATAACAAATTTAATTTAAGACCAATATAAAATCTATTTCAATATTTTTATGACTTTATCTAATGAAATTATTTTTATTATTATATAAAATTTAATAATATATTAACGTATTATTTTTGTTAGTGTCAATCTAGTGAATCATAATTATTTTAATTAAATAAGATAAATTGTTAATTTATAAAAATAATATTATATTTATGATAATTAAATATACGAAAATCACACACTTCAAGTAACAACAGAAGCTATTATCTCTCTTCCAATGAAAAACAGCCACGTGTTCAAATCTTGAGCCAATGACGTGTCAAGTATACCGCTAAATTTCAAAACCCGAACTCTTAAATTCTTCTGCTTCGTTTGTTCTTTCTCAAATTCGATTCCTCTTTTTATATAAACACTCGACAAAGATAACAACGTATTTACATAAGGTGGTGGTAGCGGCGGCGGCTCTGGTGGCGTTTTTACGATCGGTGGTTATATGGATGAAGACAAGTATAACCTCAAGAATCCGGCGGTGAAGAGGATCTTACAAGAGGTTAAGGAGATGCAATCCAATCCGTCTGATGATTTCATGAGCCTACCTCTCGAGGTAAAACAAATATCAAAATTTTATGTTATTTTTTTATACAATTTTCCCAGGTTGATGGTTTGGATTTTTGAATGGGACAGGGATTGATTTGAAAATTTTAGGAAAAATGTTTGATGTGTTGTGAAATTGAGAGGCGTATTGAGGATTGTGATGATGAATTTGGTTTTTTTTTTTCCTTTTCAGGAGAATATATTTGAATGGCAATTCGCAATTAGGGGTCCGAGGGATTCTGAATTTGAAGGAGGGATTTATCATGGAAGGATCCAATTGCCTGCTGAGTATCCATTTAAGCCACCTTCTTTTACGTTGCTTACTGTAAGGGCTTGCTTTTACACACACACACATGTATAGGCTTGCTTTTATATATATATATGCATGTATCTGAGTATTGTATAGCATAGTTAAGACTTTTTTATGTATTTGGAGGATTCTTGGAGGTTATATCTTGGTAATTTACCTGTCAGACACGAGTACTTAAAGAAAAATGAAGAGTCCAAACAACATGGTGTAAATATTTCATTTGTTTGGTAAATTGTCTAATTTGATGTTCTAAGAAGCTCTTTTATCTGCTCATATTTTTCAGCCAAATGGACGATTCGAAACCCAAACTAAGATTTGCTTGAGCATATCAAATCACCATCCGGAGCATTGGCAACCATCTTGGAGTGGTGAGTACCTTTTGATCTCTAAGGAAAACACAATCCGAATTTTGAAATAAATTGTTATCCTGGATCGGGAAAATGAAAAACTTTTCATATGTTGTATTGTTGATTCCACTGCCATTTGACGTGTTAACATATTTGTACTGTTTCATATCTTTTTTAAGCTATGTTACTTTGACGTTTGTGAGAGTAGTCGGATATGGGGTGTCCGAATCCGGTACAGATAAAACCTGGCTAATTTGGTTGTTGGTGTTGATAGTGAGGACTGCTCTAGTGGCACTGATTGCATTCATGCCCACCAGCCCGAATGGTGCTTTAGGTTCTCTAGAATATACAAAAGAAGAGCGGCTCGCCCTAGCCATCAAGTCTCGTGATGCAGCACCTAAATTCGGGAATCCAGAACGCCAGAAACTTATTGATGAGGTATGTTTTGCTTAAGTTACTGATTACACACCTTGATACTATGATTTTGATCCTCTACTAATGAAGTTTTTTCATGTTACAGATACATGAATATATGCTAAGCAAGACTCCCCATGTTCCTCAACATAGTCCTTCACTTTCCTCAGATGAACACCCTATCGAAAGGGAAGGAGAAGCCAAGGCCCATCAGCAAGATTCTGTTACCGTCGATGCTGAGGCCGAGCACCCGAATCAAGAAGCAAGTGACAGGGTTGTCGAAGAACAACCCGTGGATGCTGGGATTGAACACCCAAATGAAGAAGTAGGTGGCGGGGTTGTAGAAGAACAACCTGTGGATCCTGGCAACGCTTATCCCTTTCCCGCATACACAAGAGTTGTGAGAGAGATTCCTGCAGGGGCACCAAGAAACCAGCCACTGCAAAGGCCAAAGATGAGGGTTCAACAATCTGCTGTCGCTGACCGCTTGTTTACATGGGCTGCTGTCGGACTTACTATCGCAATTTTGGTTCTTTTGTTTAAGAGGTTCATCAAATCGGGTGGTCATGGTGCTGTTTTCATGGGTGGTTCATAGTTCCACCAACAGAGAAATCTATCAAAATATATGTTTGTTTTTAAATTAGGATGGGATCAATTTGAAGTATATTGAGCTTTTGTAATTAATTTATGTAAGCAGGATTAATACACTTATATGTTTTTCAATTTAATAAAAAGTATATTTTATAATTCATTCATGAACGTAATTCTTTCCAAAAGACTTTGTTTATTTGAATTGAAAAATGTTGCAGTGTTCCTATTGATTCAAACAAAACCAATGGATCAAACCACACTCATGTTCGTTTTTCGCCTTTCAACTTGTGTCGAAAAAAGGAGATTATAGAGAACAGAGCACCAACAAGAACAAGGATGCCGAACAAAACCACAACGACAATCATAATACGAGACAACGGCGGAGGTTCTTGGAGATATCCGGGCCGGATCGGTGATGTCATCTTCAACCGAGGCTGCCAACTGCTCCTTTTGTACTCCTTCACTTGTTCACAAAGCCCATCATAGTAGAACTCATCATTTACATTCTCCATCACTTTCATCTCTTCCCAAAGCCTATGAAACAATGTCCCAACTTGTTTATTTTCGGACACATCGTAGTTCGTAAGAATCTGCTTTCTTTTAATCAATTTCACGCCCTTTTCGTCTTCGAGAAGTGTTTTCATGAAAAGAACATAAGATGAAATGTGTTTAGTGGTTCCGGACTTGGATTGTTTGAAGGCGATGAGGTTCTGGAGTAGGGTTTCAGTATATTGGTGGACTTCAACAGGCGGAATTTCGAGCACTCCTTTGACAAATTTTATGTCTAGTAAATCTTCTGTTGATGCCTTCTTGAGTTTAACTCCAGCAGCTTTGAGCTTATCTGCCTTGTAAGGCAAACCTCTAACTTCTTCGTCTTTCACTTTGATCCTCGGGATCGTCGGGAGGAAACAATGTCGGATTAAATCGAGTAAATGGTTCCCTTCTTGTCCAAATTTGGTCAAATGAAGCCTGTGATCTCCCGGGATCATATCCCTAAAGAACCGAAATGCGAGTTCGGTCAAGGACAATTTGCAATGGTCTGGAACCGGAACGATTTCGAACATTTGTTGAAGGATGAAGTAAGGGATCTGATTTTCCAGCAACATCATGTCACACCTCAAATCGTACAACAACCCTGATGTGTTGAACACGTAATCGCCACGGCGTTTCAAACCCTTTACCACATACTTCAGGAAGAGTTCGATCAAGAAACCGGCATCGGCTAACATAATTTTGTCGAATCGATCAGTCGAAACCTCGATCTTTTCATGACATTCATAGCACAGCCTCGCCTTATGCTCTAGCTCTCTTAAGGTCTTGACACACTTGTCCAATGTAGCCTCGAGATGAGGTCTCCGATTCAGGAGCGAATACAGATACCGCCATTTATGTTCTTCCATGTGTTTCAAATCGTTCCGTCCATGATGGAAAAGACCGATGGAGATCTTCTGGGGGAGGAAATGTCTTCCATTGGACTCGAGATATTTCTCGTCGACTCTACAAGTGCAGCTTGCGGTTGTCATGGTTTCCATCTTTTCTTTGAGGGGAATCACGAGATAATCATATGACTGTCGCGGGATTTCGATCGCGACATGCCGTGCGATGACTTTCGGTTCCGACGCCGATGTAGACATCTGTAACAACAAGCTTAAACAAGCAAATCAAGATTTTATTACAAGTTATGATATACAAATGTACATATAAATTAAAAAAAGAAAGAAAGAAAGAAAACTATCCAATTTGAAAATAGAAAAAATGCAGGAGAAAACCTAAAGAAGTCAGCTTAGTTTTACCTGAAGAGAATGGCACATCTTCAACGAATCCAAGATGACTTGGGAAGATTGCTAAATACCAAAATTCAAATTATTATTGATATATATATATTTAAATGTAGTTATGTTTTATTTATATTTAAAATATAAAAAATATCAAATATATATATATATCACACGTCCTTCAGTTATGACTCATATTCTAAATTGGTCTCTAAACTTTTGAACATTTCAGTTTCATCCCCAAAATATGATTTTCATTATAAATTGGTCCCCAAACTTTTTGTACATTTCAATTTCATCCCAAATTATATATATATATAATATCATCCATTTTTAATAAAATTGTTAGGCCAAGTTATTTTATTATATATTTGAAAAAAATAAAATTTAGGTTGAACTATATTTTAAACTAATTACATATTTGGATGAATTTGGAGATGAAATTGAACATTCAAAAGTTTGAGGACCAATTTAGAATGAGAGTCATAGTTTGGGATAAATTAGAACATTTAAATGTTTAAGGACTAATTTAGAATAAGATTCATAATTTAAGATTAAATTAGAATATTTAAAAGTTTAAGGACCAATTTGAGATAATGATCATAGTTTGGGGATGACTGGAAACTCCTATACAAAGAAGATGCAGCCTTCCTTATTACAGCTTTTAAAAGGAAACAAAAACTGAACTAATTGCTTAAGCTTAAATTCATGCATCCTTGGCGTTTTTCCCGAAAAATCACTGATCGTATATTTACCGATCTAACACCGGTCAGATTATATTTCCCGATCTAATACCTGTAGTAGTAAAGCGCACCCCCTGTCTCGCGCTATATGTTGATTTGACGCCACATGGGGTATAGCACCCTCTAATCCGCGCTATACGCCACGTAGGGGTATAGCGCAGATCAGTGGCCAGGCTATACTGGTTATCTGACACGTGGGGTATAGCGCGGTACAGGGGACGCGCTATACCTTTAATTACCCACCCGTTCACACCCCAATCCTCCCTATAAATACCCCATCATCAATCACTTTTATCACACCAAATTCTCTCAAATTTTCTCAATTTCTCTCAAATACTCTCTCTGTTTAAGATATATTTTATAATATTTTTAATATTATGTATTTAATTTATTTAAGTATTTTACTTTATTTAATATTTTACTAATATAGTTTTTTTACAGATATATAATGGAAGACAATTTACTTCGCTTGGATGGAAATCATATATCTCGACACTTTGCTGATACGGTAACATTTTAACATTTTAATTTAATTTAAATTATTAGTAATAATTAGTTGATTTATTTAATGCATGATTATTAGATTAAGAATTAATTTTTGTAATTATTTATTTTTAGGAGAAAGACCGTATATTAGATCATTTTATTAGGAATCTTAAGTTAGTGATACCTAGCCGTGTCTTGTCGTATTTAGTAGAGGCTGGATTTGATTATATAGGTAGATATCAGGGTCACTGTAAGATAGAACCAGACCTTATTTCTGCCTTAGTAGAGCGGTGGAGGCCGGAGACCCACACATTCCATCTTCCGTGCGGAGAGTGCACGATCACGCTTGGATGTTTCTATGCACTGGAGCTTCCGGTGGATGGAGATGTGATATCAAGGATAGCTTCCGGTTCTTAGACTACTTTGTGCCGGGAAAATCTAGGACGTGTCCCGGAAAGTTTTATCGGAGGTAGGATACCGTTAAATTGGTTAGATGTCAATTTTCAGGAGTTGAGCGCAGACGCCTCTGAGGATGAGGTTAAGATGTATGCACGGCCATGCATATTGTAGTTGATAGGAGGGTTGCTGATGCCGGACAAATCGCGCAACCTCGTTCACTGCATGTGGTTGCGACATCTTAGCAACTTTCGTCTCGTCGGATCATTCAGTTAGGGCTCGGCAGTTTTGGCTTTGCTGTACAGGAAGATGTGTGGAGCCACTGACTAAAGGCGTAATGCTATCGGCGGATGTCTCCTACTGCTGCAGTCTTAGGCATGGTATCGATTGCCCTTTTTATGTCCCGTTGTGAAGAACACATTCGTATTTCCACTACTTCTGAGGTAATTATAAATCTGATTTTGTATATTAATAATTTTATACATCGTATAATAAATTTTTTTCCTTGAATAGGTGGTCTTCTGATAGGAAAAATCACAGGAGAACCTGATGATTTAGAAAAAAATAGGGTGCCAATCGATCAGAAGGTTGACATACATGTATGAATTTTAATGTTTAAAAATCGATTTAAGATTATAGTTATATAATTAGATTATTATTTTGATAAAAATTATATACTATTTGTTTTAGTTTGAATGGGTGACATATTCTACTGATGATGTGAGGGCGGTGATCCTACCTGAATTGCGGATGAATGTCTCCCATTGTGGCATTAAAATCATTACACATTACTGTAGTCGGGCTGTCAACTTGATCAACTTGTTCAGCCAGCTCATAGTGGGAGCTTAATGATTGACCCCGAACAACACGCACTTGAACAAAATGTGCATACATCTCAATAATGGCGTCTGAATAATTACTTTGAGCTTCAACCATCATTTGAACATCTTCATTGTTCCAAAGTTCGAACGCTGTATAAGTTAATGACAACAATGATGTTGGAAATCTGTACTGCAACGACGAAATTCTTCTACTACTTCCAACATGAATCTTCCTCGAAATCTTCGTTATCAGCTCCTCAAGAGTTATGTTTCTCTTGAATGATATTTTAACACGCTCATTTGATACGAAAACAACGCCGGTTTCATCTTCTCGAATTTCACCATCATAATAAACAATAGCTGAAAGTCGCGCTATTATTTGAGTTTAAAAGTGCGACAATATTATATCTGCAAAAAAATAACTGAAACAAACCTGATTAAATAAATTATATATGAACGAAAATATAATACAATAAATTTTTTACACATCAACGTAAATAATTTAAATAATATAATATTATATTATTACCTGCACCGCAAAACTATTTCGACGTATGCTCCCACTTTTCAATTTTACAAATATAAAAATTAATTGAAAATAATTAGTATAATATTTTTTTTCAAATAATGATAATAAACAATAAGTATAATTAAAAAATTATAACAAAATTACCTTATAACGAAAAATTACACGAACTTCTAAATCAAATATAAGAAGATTGCCTGAATTATTACTCGTTGGAGGAGGGTATTTATAACAATATAAGGCGAGGTACCTGCACCGCGCTATATGTAATTATTCAGATAAAGGTATAGCGCGGACCAGGGTCCGCGCTAAATATAATTCATACCCAGGTATAGCGCGGACCAAAGACCGCGTTAAATATAATTCTGGTACGTGGCGTATTGCGCGGCCCCTGATCCGCGCTATACCCCTACGTGGCGTATAGCGCGGATCAGGGGGCGCGCTATACACACGTGTAACCCATGTCACCGTATAGCGCGGTACAGGGGGCGCGCATACCCCACGTGGCGCCAAATCAACATATAGCTCAAGGCAGGGGGCGCGCTTTACTGCTATAGGTGTTAGATCAGGAAATATAATATGACCGATGTTAGATCGATAAATATATCGATCATCGGTAATTTTTCGAAAAAAACACCTGCATCCTTCCGACTTTTCCGACAGGTGAAACATTATGATTTTACGTGAAAATTATGAATATAAATTCATTTATTTAGTATAATATCAAAATTATAAAGTACAATTCTATCTTTTAGAAATTTTAAATTCTCATATTATTATATAATTTAATTTCTTTGTGATCTAATTTTATATCTCTAAAATTTTATAATTTTATTCTTATTAAAATTTTATAATTTCTTAAATGTGACTGTTAATATTAAGGGTGGGCAAAACTCGATTCGACTAAAAAAATTAATTCTTTTGGCTCGATTCAAAAAAGTTCGACTCGAATTTACTTCGAGTTGTAGTTTCATAAACTCGATTCGAAAAAATTTATAGTTCAAATCGAGTTGTAAAGTATAACTTGAATAACTCAAAATTTTTAGTAATTAGTAGATTAATTTTCAAGATTAAGTCGAGTCCCTCGACTCTGTATGATATATGTATACCACATATAAAAAAATATGAACAAATATATATGTATTATATATGGTTATAAAAAATCATTTAAATTTGAATCAAATAATATCATCATATTATAAATGTTTATAAATAAATTTAAACAGAAACTAAAAAATTCGATTCAACTCAACTCGATTCGAATTTTCTAAACTTGACTTGACTTAAAAAATTTCAAATCAACTTTTAGTTATAAAATAAAACTTATCAACTCGAATAATTTGACTTAAGTTGAAGGCTCACCCCAACTTAATATACCATTGTTGATTCCATCGTGAGAAACTCGGTATGGGCTTAGATAACATGAAGCCCTACGTTAATAAAAGGCTTAGTGTAATGGACTAGGGCATGCCTGCAAACGGTCTTTATTTTATAGGTAAAGTACTGTACAAGTAATTGTATTTAGCAAGAATTGCATTTTGGTCCTCTAAAACGAGCAAACAAAATCTCCCATAATACTGTTTTTTTTATTGTGGAGTATTTCGAATATTGAGAGAGAATTTAAAGCGTATAACGTCAAATTCATTCTTAACATTCGATTAAATCATCAAATTTTTTTTATCTTTTTGAAGCTTTTTAATCCTTAATGTTTTATTTTTTGTGAAAATGACTATTTTAAAGATGAAACCTTTAATTAAATAATTGTTAATGATTTTTATTTAACAATAAATTATTTTGATAAAAACATAAATGTTGAAAGCTAACATATTTAAAAAAAATAATGATTATTCATATAAACGTTAAGGATGATTTTTAACATTATATCTTACTTAGAGTTTAC